TACCCCAAAAGAATGCTGATGAAAAGCCTGAAAAAGTCTGATGGATTCAGAAATGGTTTTGTAATTCACTTTTCCTTTTGCACTGTTATAAATCTCAAAGAAAATATCCATTGGTTGTATTTCTTTCCTCCAGGGGAAGGTGAGAGAATGACTAGGCTTTTGTCTCATGAAATGTGCCAGGAATGGAGTAATGCCAAAGCATTGGCTTTATGGCAGTTACAATAGTATCTATAAAGCTCAATTTGAATTTGGAACAGGGAAGGTAAGGCTGGTGACAAAGGGGTAGATAGCTATAAAAGCAGGGGCATAGAGTACTGGAAAATTTTGATCCCAAAAGAATCACAATAATGTACGTAGAGAACTTCCCATTTTAAGCGATGTACATTGTGAAGGTATTCATCCAAACTAAGGCCCTGCATGTTACTTTTAAGATTTTTAATTCCTAGCTACATTTTTAAAAATAGTGATGCTTTTTTAAAACCAAATAGTGGAAAGGGGAAGTAACGAGACATAGAAGAAAAAGTAATGAAATTGGGACATGAACATGCACGGAGCACAAGCCAAGTGTACCTTGGACATGGCAGTACAGTATATCCCAGGATGAGTATTGTCTTTGGCCCTTAGGAGAAAGGGAAGGGCTCTAAGCACTTCTTAATTTGGGGTTGGAAGATCTTAATTTAAATTCTTAATGTGCTACCTATTACCTAGACCACTTTGGGCAAATCGTTTTACCTCTTCCCTCTAAAGTAGCAATTCTTAAACCTTTTGGACCCCTTTAAACTTTTAAAATTATTGAATATACTAAAGAACTTTTGTTTATGTGGTTTTTACTTATTGATATTTACTGTATTAGAAATTAAAGTATTTTAGTATTATGAAAATAGTGTTGACCTCATGAACCCCCTGAAAGGTTCTCAGGGACCCTCAGGAGTCCCCAGACCATACTTTGAGAATAGCTAGCTGCAGCTACGTGGCACAAAGGGCAGCTAAGTGGCACAGTGGTTAGGGTGTCCAGCCTGGAGTCTGGTCTTAGATACTTATTAGCTGTGTGACCATGGGCAAGTCACTTGACTCTGTTTGCCTCAGTTCCTCATTTCTAGAATGAGCTGGCCAAGGAATAGCAAACCATTTCAGTATCTTTGCCAAGAAAATCCCAAATGGGGTCACAAAGAATCAAACATGACTGAAAAACAATTCAACAACAACAAAACTGAATCTGCTTTAAAAAAAAGGGGATTGGATGAGATGATTTTCCAGACCCAAATCCCTAGGGAGTACTGAGTAGGAAAGAAACTGTTGAGTTATAAGTACATGAAGCCACTTGTGAAGTTAATCTTAATAGTCTGAAATAGTTGGTGCCCCATGGAAAAGTCTAATATGTCTGACTTACTTCCCTTCCCCACCCTCCAATCAAACACAAACATATACAACACACACTAAACAAAGACAGAAAATGAAATAGGTGTGTGAGATTGTACTCAGATGACAATAGCTAGATGAGATAATCTCAGTTTCTAATATTTTGTATTCATTAAAATACATTTGAAAATGATTCCTGTTTGGGTAACATGAAAGACATTTGATCAATCATTGTTAAGTCTGGAAAACCTAAACCAAAGTTATTTGAAAAAGAACAAAACAATTAGTGAGGAAAATATATTTATTCTTCTGATAAATTTACTAGAACAAATTTCAGCTGATGGAGCATTTTATTTTTTTAACCAAAAAGTATTGTTTATATGGAAAGCACCAAATTGAGATATTCTAAATGATTAAAGGTGCTTTGGCATTACTGTGAGAATATTAAAGTTTTTGGGATAAGTGCCTAAGAGATGTAAATGGAGAAGGGGAAGGAATAAGCATGAATACGGTGTTTACTATATGCTATGCACTGTGCTAAGCACTTTATAAATATCTCATTTGATTCTTACAACAATTCTGAGGCAGTTGCTGTAATTATCCCCATTTTTACAGGTGAAGAAACTGAGGTAGACAGAACTTAAGTGACTTGCCCAAAGTCACACAGCTAGTGAATATCTGAGGTCAAATTTGAACTCAGGTCTTCCAGACTCCAGGCTTATCACTCTATCCATTGTGCTACCTTGTTGCCTGGAATCATAGAGATTTAAGAATGTGTGTGTGTGTGTGTGTGTGTGTGTGTGTGTGTGTGTGTGTGTGTTTGGGGAGAAAAGAGAAGCAATAGCTTTATACTTAACCAAAAGTTCTAGGAGTAAGGAGTGTCCTTCTTGGTTTAGAAGTTTCTTTCTCTCTATATATGTGTATATTGTCCATTACCTTCTTGCCTTTCCCTCTAAATTCTTTTCTTGAAAAAAATCTCACTTTCCTCTTCCTGCCTGAGTACAGTGTCCCTTGGCAAAAGCACTCAACAAGCCTTAATCTTTATAGTGGGAATGGGGAAGGAGAGAGGGACATGGAGAGAACGTATCAAAAACAATTTAACTGTAGAATCTTGTATATATACATATATATGTATATATAATGTATTAGTACAGTGTTAAAAACTAACTTTAAATGTGATTCATCACTTTAGTGAAAAACTACCAGAATATACTTATATAAGTATGTAATATACTTATTTAAGTACATAATATACTTATGTAAGTATATAATATACAAGGATGTATAATATATAAGTATATAATATATTCATACAAGAATAAAAGTGGCCAGACTACCTAACAAATCATTTCAATTAAGCAAATCTACTTTTGTTTTCATCATTTGGTTTATTCTCTATAAAATCCCCTAGCTTCATAGAGAAGACCTTGTGGGTAAGGAAAAAATTCCTATATAATCTACCCTGTTCCCAACTTTTTAAAGGAAAACAGCATTTTGTGTCTTACAGGGGATAGGAAATTTTCAATGATGGGGGGCAGGGAACCCTAGGCAATGCCTTCAAAATGAGCCAACCTGATGGTAAGCTAAAATTATATTTTACTTGTAAGTGACCTGCAGAACTATTTCCAAATGTATCCATGAACAGAGGGCACTGTTCAGACATTTGTGAAATATTCACCCAAAAAAGTTGAGCCTGCATCCTGGTAACATGAATCACCAGAAAGTAATACCTGTTGTGTGGATAAATTGTGTTTTCTCTGACTTCCTGAAATATCTAGTTGTTTGAATAAAAATAAATATTGAACTGCAATAAATTACCTGGTATCCCATCTAGACTACACCACAGGAGTTTGTTTGTTGCAAGTGGGGACAGTTCCAACATATAATGCATTTTTGTAGCCATCTATGTTATGTATATTTCCTCCAAGGTCCATCTCAGGATAAGCCCAATTTCATTTCATCAGTGCTATCTGCCTCTTTAGGTACCCCAGCTTAATGAAGCCACCATTGATTTAGTAGGTTTTCATGACATGTTGGTGGTGAAAAGAACCCATTCTTCTTTTCTTCATCCCTCTTCTAATACCAAATGAATCTGATGGAGGCAGCATAGTATAGGAGGACACTCTTGGAGGCAAAGGGCTCCGTAACTTAGCATCTGTGTGAATCCTGCGCAAGTTATTTAATCTCTTTGGGGCTCAGTTTCTACAACTGTAAAATGAGGAGCTATACTTGAAAACCTTGAAGGTTTTTTCTGGCTCTTGATCTGTGACATATGGTGGCCAGTGCCTAGAAATTAAAGGAAACCCTGAGCTGGGCCAATGATTAAAAAAAAACCCCTCAGACTGGCTTTGATAGAGTCAATCTCAGAACCAAACTTTACAAAAGAATTAACTGCTTAGGTTGTTTGCTTGTTTTCACTGACTTTTAAAGCTATCAAATGCCTATTTGGTGTGGGTTGGGCACGACTTCACTCAAGCATGATTTGTATGGGTTCCAGTAAGGTCCTAAAAGCATCTTCAAATAGAGGAGAATGAATCACTGCCTATTAGAATGTTTCTCTCTCCATAGTTCTAAGTTACCTTTGCTTCTTATTCTGGTAGATAGCTCACAATTTGCTGTGAAATATTTTTTCTACTTGCTCTCTTTTGGGCATTGGCATTGATTTCCAAAGCTCTTTGGAGCTCCTCCCTCTTTTTCCCATTTCAGGCTTTTAAGTTGCATTTCATCGCTCTCACTTTCTTCTTGGCCCTCAGATCTCTCCAGACAATGTATTAAGAGTGAGTTTGCTAGGTGTATTCGTTGTGACAGGTATCCATTCCCCTTTTTCCATCCCCCTACTTATAGCTAATGATGCCTATTATATGCAAGCCACTGTTCTAGTGATACAAATACAAAATGAGACAGTCCTTGCTTTTAAAGAGCTTCTATTCTACTTAGTGAATACAGGTTTCGTGTTGGGTCCTTTTCAGTTGTGTTTAACTCTTTATGACCCCAAAGGTTTTCTTGGCAAAGATACTAGAGTGGTTTGCCATTTCCTTCTCCAACTCATTTTACAGATGAGAAAACTGCGGCAAACAGGGTGTCTCATAGCTAGTGTCAGAGGCAGGATTTAAACTTAGGAAGATGAGTTTTCCTGGCTTCAGGTCTGGCACTCTATCCACTGTGCCACCTAGCTGCCCAGATACATATTTGCACGTCAGTAAATTCAGGATACATACACAATATATACAAAATTATTTGGTGTGGGCACCAACAACTGGGGATGATCACTCTCCATTTTCTATTGTTTCTAGATTACCAAAATGAAGGTAATTTCCCTGTCCCTTTTAAAAACTTGATCATTAGTCAATGGGACCTATTCAGTGCCTACCACAAAGTTTTGCACCTAATAGGCACTCGGTGCAGTTGTTTGAATAGACTAAGGATTAAATGACTCTAGCAACCGACATCATTCAACATAATATGATGCATTTCAATGCAAACTTTGGGTAGTCAGCTTTCCATCAGCACATAATATTGATCCTGATTTGTATCCTTTGTAATCCCAAGGACAAGAAATTTAGTAGCTCAGAAAAAAATAAGCTCTAGGAAAGTGCCTTGCTCCTAGGAGCTCCAGAGATCTGAGTGCGTTCGGTACTTACAGCTGTCCTCTTCCTCCATGAAAACACTGATCACGTAACAGGCATACACAAAGCCAATCAACTGTGGAAGAAAAACAAAACAATGCATGTCAGAAAGCTGTACTGAATTTGTGTAAAGCAGGAATCTCAATTACAGCTTGTGCAATTAGCAGATAAAGGATGCCCTGAATTAACTACTAGCATTTGATAATAGAAGCCTTCTTGTATTTTTAACTAACAGCTATCATCTTGAAATACATATTCAATTCCCATTAGTGTTAATAGGATTAGAGAAAGTTACCCAGGTATATCCTGAGCAGACTCCTAGGTATTTAATTGAAATCTGAGACTATGGTTACTAAATTGTAAATGATTGGACTTTTCAGAATATTTTGGAATTAACCATTGAAGGAAATGTACTACTTATCTCACAAGGCTGTTGTGAGGATCAATCAGCAGGCATTTATTAACTGAATACAGTGTGCTATAATTGGTGGTAGGTGATGAGGCTACAAAAATGAAAACAAAACAAAATAATCCCTACACTCAAGCTTACACTTATTTGAGGGAAGCGATATCTCCTCATCCATAAACTGAGGGGGTTGGATTTAATGATCTCTAAGGTACCTCTCAAATCTAAACCTATGGTCCTGTAATCCTATGTAAACATAAATAGATACAAAATATACACAAAGTAAATATAAAGTAATTTGAAGGAGAAAGCCCTGGAAGCTAGGAGGATCAGGAAGGGACTTGAGCTAGGAATTCTGAAAAGCAGATGGGAGCAGGGACTGCATTCCAGGCATAAGGAAAACCTTGTACTGTTTTGCATGAGGAACAGCAAGTTTGGCTGAACAAAGAGGAATGACACATGTAGGCAACAGGTGGCACTGAGAAGCGAGGCAGGCTCAGCTGTAAGTTGTGGGGGAGAAGGAAGAGAAGAGGGAAGGAAATCTCTCTCGTGACTTTCTTTCAGATTTTTTTTCCCCCTCAGGGGAATGTTTGTCTCTCTACCTCAGATACACACCAGGAAAGTTTGTGGGACTGGATTATGAAGGGTTATAAATGCTAAACAGAGAAGATTGTATTGTATTTTATGGCTTCTGAGTAGATATATGATATGATGATCCTGTGATATTCTAAGAGGCAACAGGGAGCCAAGGGAGGTTTTGGAGTGGGGAGAGTGGTGACATAATCTGTTCTATGCTTTAGGGATATTACTTTGGTAGATGCATGCAAGATAGATTAGGGAGGGGTAAAACTAAGCATAGAGAAGATTGAGAGACTTCTTACAGTCTGGGTGAGAGGTAATGAGGGTTCAAATTAGGGTGCTGATCATGTGAGTGTGGGAAAAGAAGATAAGAGGTGTTGTGGAAGTAGAATTGATCACACTTGCTAATTCTTTGTATATAAGAGGGGAGGCAGAGTGATGCATTCATGAATCTGGGTTTGAATCTTGTGCCTGGCACTTATTAGTTTTGTGACCCTGAGAAAATCACTTAACCCCTCTTGTCTTGTTTTTTCATTTCTAAAAAGGAAAATATTTGTCACCCTAACCTTGAAAGGTTGTAGTGAGATTTAAATCAATCATCAAACTTTTTTTAAGCTTTCACTGTGGTGTCAGGCATTTTCCTAGGCACTGGAGATACAAAGACAGAAGTGAAATATTCTCTGCCCTCAAGCAGCTAATATTCTAATGACGTTGTCACACACTATGATCTTCAATCAAAAAAGATAATATATGTCAAGCAAGTAGTAAATGTTTAGAAGGTGTTACATAAATGTTAGCTATTTGTCATTATTCCTAAAGCTGGATTAAAGCTCCCATTAGAAAAAGTCTTGACTAATTTTGCTTGCTTGCCCGTAGAGATTTAGAATTAAGGATTAAGTAATACTTAACTAGGGATGGGGGAGGGAGGGACACTCTGCATATTGGATAACTATGGTACAGTTGTTTTGTTGGTTACTTGATTTTTCTCCTCTGTACCAAGTCAAATTGAAGGACATTGATTTAGAATGTCAGGAGAACTTTGAAATAACCATGAGAATTCTAAGCATGCCCCTTGTACTGCTCTTGTGCTATAAGCAGAAATGCTGTGGGACGATTTATCACAACTGCAGTCACACGATGTGTTTTTCATCTCAGTTTTGGTGGGAGGGAAGTGAAGATACATCAAAATGTTTTGGCTCTGTGCTAGGGACCTTTTCAATTGTGAGTCCAAGGTCTTGTTAGTACCTTGGTTCTAGGAAGCCTATTAATTTTCCATAGTTCTAGTATAATATAATCTTCAAGTAAAATATAGCCCTCTCTCCTTCACCATTTTCTAAGGAGAGCATTTGTAGTGTCCCAGTAAGATGAATTCTTCTTCTGTTTTCTTGGCTGTCTCATCATAACTAAATGACAAGCAAAGGTATGCAAATGCAGAATTCCCACATTAACTACATTACTGACTTCTAGCAAGCTGCAGAGACCATACAGCATGCAAATGAGCTCCTTTCAAGATCTGAACATTTCTTCAGCAAGACTACCGGGTGTAATCAACATTGTAGGATTAGATTCTTAAGAATATGAAGTGTATTCCTGTATTGCATTTGGAGAAGGAGTATCGGGGAAGAAAAGTGGAGGGTTGATGGAGGGGTCCCCAGAGATGGAACCTGGAAGTGGCTGTGCCAATATATTCCCATCATTTATCAGTACAAAGAAGCTGACTCAGAGAATCACAGAATTTCAGGGTTGCAAAGGACCCCAGAGGCCATCCAGTATAACACATACCTGAATACAAATCTCTACAACATGTCTGAAAAACGGTCATCCATCCTTCACTTGTAGGTCTCTGATAAGGGAGAACACACTACTTCAGGTGAACTTGACCTCTAATTTTTAATATGCAAGTGATGTGGCAGCCCTGATTCCATCTAGGGTGGGATGGACTTGGATGAGCTGAACATTTGAAATTATGAATGACTGCTCCTTCAGTAACATCCTCCCTCCAAGCCTTTTCATGGCTGGAGTTAACTTTGATTGCTTGAAGCCAGTGGAACACAAAATTTGACGTGTTCTATCAGATTAGAAATGCTCGGAGCACTCACTATCATTCGAGAACAGAGTCATAGAATCAGGGAACTTTAAAGTTGGAAGGAACTGAAGTGGGTATTCATCTTCTCCAGTCCCTACCCCACAAGAGAATCTCCACCTCTGGCTTTTGCATGAAGAAATCTAATTAGAGGGAGACCATTACCTCTAAAGGCAGCTCACTCCTCTTTCGGATACCTCCAGTTCCTAGTCAATTTGTTCCTATGTAACTTTCACCCAGCACTCCTGGTTGTTCCTGCTGGGGTCAAGTTAAATTGTTCTTCTTCTTTACTACTCTTTAAGTACTTGAAGAAAGCTATCATATCCCAAGGGCCACTAGATGGTGTGTGGGGTCTGGAATGAGAAAGACCTGAGTTCAAATTCACCTCAGACACTTCCTAGCTGTGTGACCTTGGGCAAGTCACTTAATCCTGTTTGCCCCAGTTCCTTATCTGTCAAATGAGCAGGAGAAGGAGATGGCAAACCGCTCCAGTATCTTTGCCAGAAAACCCCAAATGGGGTCATGAAGAGTCAGACGTAACTGGAATGACTGAACAACAACCACCATAACAAGGAAAATCATATTCCCATTAAGTCTTCTCTTCTAGAGGCCTTCTAGCATCTCTACTTCTAGTTGGTCCTCACATGACAAGGACTCAAGGCCCTGGTCGTTCTATTCCGGATGCTTTTCAACTTGTCAATATCAATCTAATTTTGAAAGGTTTTTTTTCGTAAGGTTTACCATGAGGTTATTTTCTTTCACCCATGGAAACTCATTAAGACAGTCTATTACAGTGTGAATCAGAGGGATGTGTTCTGCATTGGTGGAGAGAAACCCCATGCCAGTGAAATCACAGATCTTTTGAAGGAGAATACACATTATGAGTGGAAATAGAAATTGGTAGGTCTGTCTAAGAATGAGATAACAGGTACACATGGGAATATAGAAAGAAGAAGGTCATTTGGGTACTTTTTCAAGAGGTTTGCTTACACACACACACAAATAGAATTCTTCTTGTTAACCTCTACTACCATATGAAAGCCATGGACTAATCCAAAAATGCACAACCTTTCCTGCCTCAATTATTTCCCCTTGGCAATCCATCCTCCCTATAGTTACCAAAGTGGTTTTTTAAAAGTGTATTTCTAACCATCTAACTCTTAAACTCAATAAACTCCAGAGGCTCCCTATGGCTTCTAGATTAATAATAACAACAACAATAATAAATTTCCACATTTGACTTTTAAAGCTCTTCAAAATTTGGCCTGAATCTACCTTCTTAATCTTATTTATATTTCACTCCCCTTCCCTTACTCTGCAGTGCAGTCAAACTGTGGCTTTCTTATGTTCCCTCATCATGATACAATATCTCCTATGTTTGGGCCTTCACATGGGCCCCATACCTGGAATGAACTCATCTCATCTGGCCCCTTAGAATCCTTTATTTTCATTAATACTCTACTTAAAGCAACAACTTCTACATTAAAGTTCTCCTGACCACCTCCCCTGCTATTGTCTCCCTCCCCTAAAATGTATCTTGTATTTATTTTGCATATATCTATACTAGCTCCACAGGCATAACTATAGAAATATACCTATATACACACAGATATATATATATATATATATATATATATATATATATATATATACATGTATGTTTATAAAATTATATATTTTTACATTTATACATGTATGCTTATTTTTTTACATGTTATCTCTCACCATAGAATGTAAGCATATTGAGGGCAAGGACATTTCCATTTCAGTTTTATATCTTGAGAGCATATTACAGTGCCTAGCACATAGTAGGTACTCAAAAAGTATTTGTGGAATAAGCAGTTTTTCTGAAATGACTTATTATTTAGCCTGAGAGGAGCTAGGAAATTTATTTATTTCTTTTTTGCCGTAACATGTGATATAAGCAGGGGTCTTTTTGATAGACAGGAGGGAAGTTGTAGCTTTTTTAATCCCAGTGACAGCATGCAGTTCCTCTCTCTCCTCTGTC